GACAGGCATCCAGTGCCATATACCCTCAGGTGTCACCTGCTGTCCCCTCCTGAGCCTCTGCCTGCATTGCCAGAGCCTGAGATCCCAGAGGGGTTTTGCTCACAGGGAATTGTGAATGTCCCTTTGGGCCAGGTCCCTCCCAAAGGGCCAGGCAGACACCACAGCACACAAATATTCTGACCTCTGCCAATGAGCCTCACTTCTTCAGCACCAGAGCTTCTGAATTATTATAATAATGTGGCTGCACATTTTGAAGGGGAAAGCTGGGTAAAACTGCCTAAAAATAACACATGAATCCATCCTGGGCTGCTCTGAGGCCACTGCCAGACCTGTGTGCTCCTCCTCTGTGCTCCTGACTGGCTTAATCTTAAGCTATATGTTATTTAAAATTAATTTGCAGAGATGCAGACATTACATAAGTCACTGAGGAAATGCCAGATTATGTATGTAATTTGCTGAAGTGCTCCACTGTCATCTTACTTGGCTCCCCATGAAACCAAGGGATCAGAATTAAGCTGAGGCAGAGTTTGGACCAGTCCCAGTCACCATCCTGGAAGTGCTGTGGAAGATGAGCCAGCACTGCAGACACTTGTTGGTAATTCACACCCAGAGAGACTCTTGGAATTTCTTCAGGACATTCAGTGATCAGAGAAAGGAGGAATAAAGGGGACGATGAAAAATACATGGACTAGAGTATTTTTTACTAATTATTTGCTTGCCCTCATTGGCAAGTCACCTGGTGTTCTTGGAGAGAGCTGCATTTTCATGGGAATGTGCCAGCCACAACCTTCCTCTCCCAAAACCAAGCCAGAATATTAATTATGGATTCTGTTGCATAATTAGAGTCTGAAGCCCAGAATTAATTGATGGTAGCTGCTTAGCACAGATATCAATTCTACCTTGGAATAATGCTCTGTCTCCTAGCTACACACAGAGAGGTAAATCACTGGAGCAGTGAGTGCTCAGTTTTGGTGACACAGGGTCTTGTGATCTCCTGCCAGCTGTTAGAACAGTGCAGTGGTGACATGAGAAGTGTTTGTAATTCATGGTAACCCAGTGCTCCCTGACTTGTCCTGGCCTTGGCTGTGACAGCTTGTCTTGGTTTGGAAAGACAGGAGTCTGCTAAGGAAGGCAGGAGCCTCCC